ATTGGTCGCGCTGCGATGGAGATCATACGACCCAGAAGACGCTGGCGGAAGAAAAACACGGAGCTTGGTCACCGGGTGGTTACGCGAATCAAAAAAATGATACTGATTTTCAGAAGGCCACTTATTAGGATTTATCCACACGTATTAGGACTAAATCACAAAATGTTCATCACTATTCAAAGTCAAAGCCAAAGTTTTATTACGGACGATTTAACAGCTAAGCTAAAGCTTATGGTACTCCGTACGGAATTTTAAAGAATCTGTTGAGTAACTTCACAAAAAGAAAATGATAATATTTTTTATTATATCGGTATGTGATGAACCGCAGTCGGGGTGGACCTCTTGATTACGAAGACCTGCTGTTCAGTGATCGTAACCAACAGCCTAAGCCCTGGGACTTAGGCTGTTGGTTACGATCACTGAACAGCAGGTCAGGCATGGTATAGAACCGGGTCACAGCAAAGCTGCCTACCACCATGGTTGGGTGGCGGTGGCGGGGCTTGAATCTTGAAAGCCAAAGCACGCCGGTGTCAGCGACTAAACCACTGCGCCACCATTACCGTATGCATAATGATTCACGGATGTCGAAGTGTTAAGTGGTCCAATGCATTATCCAGTTGCGATTTAAATAGTTCAACTGTAGGTGCATCCACCACATCGGATGAAAGAGAAGTCAAGTGATTGATTGTACGGATCTATTCAACGAAAAAGAAGAACAAAGACTGAAAGGGTATAGTATATCAATTTACATCAGACTAGTTGGCGAAGAGAAAACACTTTCCACGATAATTAACCTGCTTTTTTTAATTTCAACTTAGGGTTTATTTTTAAACTCTTACCAATCGTTAACTGTGTGTATTTCTGTGGTGTATAGAAGTGGTGGTATATAACGGTGAGCCACAACAACACATTGGTCTCGTCATGTGACGGTCTGCTGACCCCAGGGTGACCGGAGTTCCAAGTGTGACGTAGCTGGATGAAGCTAATTCGACTGTGAACAGTAACCGTATATCACCGATACAGTAAGATGGAATCGATCACCTATACTGTTTTTTTTTGCACTATGATTCCTGTCTGGCATTGATTGATTGTTAGGTGCGGACTTTGAAGTGCATGGTGGGTGGGGGTGAGGGGTGGGGGGGGGGGNGTGAATAGTGAACAGTTTAATACCGCTAAAAATTTACTCACCGTGCGCGTGACTATACACACCGACTAGTGAATGAGCAAATCAATGGAGCTCAGGAAAGTGCAACTTTCTAAATTGATATAACCATTGGGACAATGTTCGGGCGGTCGACTCAGAAGTTCGCGGGTAGGAGTTTCCATTCCCGACCTGAAGGTTATTCGCTTGAGTCCCGAAAGGGACACAAAGTGTAACCTAACAAGGACGGAAAGCATATAGCATCTAACTAAGATTCTCGTTTGCGAAGAGATATAGTTTGAATTGATGGGACTGGCGCTTGATCCAATCCAATCACCCGGCCCATTGTCACGCTGAACCAACTGAGGCCTTATGTGGTTTACCAAGTCTTACTATCACAATTTTGGAACCGTTTATCGCTCCCCGAGTAGCATCGATCCTTCTATTCGATATTTGATATTCTATCTTCCAACAGTGAAACACTAATAAC